GTTTTGTGGTGGGCGGGGGTGGGGCACCCCGGCGGCGGGGGTCCAGGGGTCGAACCCCTACCCCAGCTTTGCCCCAGGGGGCCCCCGCCTGACAACCCTGGCAGCAACTGAGCGAGGAACGAGGATTGAGTAGGAGCCTGGCACACAGAGGAGGGTCGGGACACCGCGCCCTCCGACAACGTGCTGCTCCCCACAAATAGATTGGAGCAATTTGATTAAAAAAAAAAAAAAAAAAGGTGCATCGATAACAAACACCCATCTTACTGTTCTACCGAAAGCCGTGTACAAGATTGAGTTAAACCTTGCTTTTGGGTCGGGCCACCTTATGGATTTGGGCAGTCGAAGAGACCGATCTACAACTTATCTGTCTAGTGACGAAGGGGGAAAGCAAAACCATTGGCATGTAGCTCAGTGGATAAATCACTGGCCTGCAATCAGGAAGTTGATGGTCTTGATGATTTAGGCCCCTTGATCATAGTACATGGAATGCAAGGCATGTTTTGCTGATGTAGTCCATCTTAGATCAAGCCAGACCAAGGGAAAAAATACTACAAACTAAGTACATCACGTTTTAAGAACACTACATTTCGACAATATCTACAGGATGTATTGGACTTCTGGAGGGAATAGAGACATATCATTCTAAATGGTTCAACAATGGTCTACCCTTTCTAGGTCATAATTGCAATGAATATTTCAAAGCCCTTGCTAAGATCGGACGTCAACAAGAAACAAAAGTCCAAAATAAAAAAACATGATTCTAAAGAAAAAGATTCTAGTGGGGCTGACCAAGCTGAACTAGAACCATTAGTAGTGAAAATCAAAGAAGTGGAAGACCAATTACAGATGGCAAAGAATACAGATGGCAAGGAATTCAAATTAGTGGTAAGATCAGGGAACCCCTGGCCTCAATCTTCTTATTTAAAAAAAAAAAAAAAAAAAAGGAAACATCAAATGGAAGGACTCCAAAGTTGATATAGACACAAAATTCTTCGCAATGGCCGGAGCTAGAACTGGTAGGACCATAGGGGCTCGTTCGACACTCGTCGGGGCGTCCTCAGACCCCGAGGAAAAAATCTTGGAGTCGCTCGAGGAATTTCCCACCTTCGTTCCACTCATCCTCAGAATTGTTCCCCGAGGACGATTCCTCGGGGCCTTCCGCGACCAGTTTCATATATCGACGAGCGGACGGGGGGGGGTTGGTCCATCGTGAAGTGTCCGTGCGGACGTCGTTGGTCCACCTCGGGCGGCCGTCGAGAAATTGGAATTTGGCGGCGAAAAAAAAAGAATCAGAGAAAAAGGCGCGCAGTCTCGGGCTCGAATTTTGAAATTCGAATTTCCGCAAGCGACAGACGGCAGCGTGGGCGTCCCTTGCGGTTGACGGCAGCACAGTTCGTCGGCGGAAGCGTTTCGGCACGGGGTGGCGGCTGCGTGTGGGCAGGGCACGCCGAACGTACATTAAGACATCCGAAGCAGTCTACACGCCGTCACACGATCGCCGGCGCATCTTCGTCGTCGACGTGTACGCTGTGTTGTGTGGCCCGCCACATGTGGAGTCTTTTGCAGTTGGCGACGGCCACGAGGACAGTGGAATTTGCGGCGATGGCCATGAACGGGAGGAGGAGGGGTGACACATTGAGCAAGGCGGAGAGGACGGCGGTGGCAGCGGCCGTGAACGCCGTCCTCTTCGGGTGTCAATTGCAGAGGGGCGAGGGAAGGATGAGAGCGGCCATTCGCGCACGGCGGAAGAGGACGCTGCAGTCGTTCCATGCGGAGGGAGAGGACAGTGCTGCCATTTGCGACGTCGTGCTGCAGGTGTGCTACGCCATGGGCTTTGGAGCATTCCCCAGAGCGACGCCGAGGTGGTGGATGAAGCGACGGACGGGTGGGACGTGGGAGGATTTGCGGCATTGCGACGACGCGACGACGGACTACTTCAAGGACATTGTCAAGCTGCGCATGTCGCCACGTGTGTTTGGAGAGATCACGGAAGCTTTGTCTCCCTTCCTTGAATGGCGTGTCACTTTTTATAGGGAGTCCCTCCAGCCTGACCACATTGTCGCGTACGCTTTGTACAGGTGGGCGTCGGAGGAGACGTATGAGTGCGGGACATGCAACTTCGACATTGTCAGATCTTCCGGGTTGGTGGCTGTGCGGGATATGACTGCGGTGTTGCTGAAGGCATATGCCGAAAACATAGCGTGGCTGACGGGTTTGCTGAAGGCGGTCGTCTTGCGCGCTTTCGCTGACAAGGGTTTCCCTAACTGCCATGGGTGCATCGACTGCACCCACATCTTCATAGACAAGCTAGTGAATTGCCCCGGGGACGACTACTACGATAGAAAACGCCGTTTCTCCGTCTAGGCGCAGGTCGTCGTTGATTTGAACTTGCTCGTGCTGGATGTGTTCAACTGTTATCCGGGAAGTTGCCACGACGTGAGGATTGTCCACCTGTCCAGTTTATGGGCGCGCGCGGAGGCAAGGGAACTTCTCACTGGCCCCCCTGTCATGCTGCCTTTTTGTGTGCGCACAAACGGCTATCTGCTGGGGGACACCGGTTATCCGCCGTCAGAATGGGTAGTCGTCCCCTACGGCGGTGTTTCACAAACCCCATTGGAGTTGCGCTTTGACAACAAGCAGAAGACGGCGAGGGGAGCAGTTGGGAGGGCCTTCGGGAGACTGAAGGGGATGTGGAGGTTGTTCCTACACTCCCACAAGACGAACATGGAGACGTTGCCGCAGCAGTTCATCGCCGTCTGCAGTCTGCACAACATACTCCTCGACGCGGGCATCCCCTTCGACAACAACGTACTGTGGCCACTGCCCTGCTCGCCTGCAGACCTGCACATCACCTGCCGCCCCTCCATACCGACGTCCTTCTTCGAACACCGTCTTCTGCGGCCACGTCGCGGACCGATGCCGACGAAACACACGTGGAAGAGAACTAACAGCAGGAGCAGGAGGACGACGAGCACCAGCAGCGGCAGCCTCCGAAAGACGTCGGCCATGAAACACACTTGGACGACGGCAACAGCTAGAACACAACGGTGGACGTCCAGGAAACGGGGAGGGTAAGTGCCGCAAACGGCCGATCGCAGCTACAGACAAAACCAGCATAACGTTTTCCGTCGCGGAAGACAGTGCGCAATCGGGAGAGCGGGGGCCGGCTGAAGTATTCGAATCTGCCGACCGTTGGGCGCTTTACTGCGGGTGCCGAAGGGCAGCAATGCAAGGTGGCCCCTTCTCGACGTCGCGGAGGACGGCAGGCCGCCCAAGGGGACCGTTGGCGGACTATTCCACGACGGGAGCCGTTGCGAACCGGAGTTGTCCGTCCACAGGCCGCCAGGAACAGCAATGGACCAGCCGCGTCAAAAATTGTCGTCGAGGGAGCTGCCGTCGACGCCCCGATTCTTCCGGATGCTCGACCCCCAAGGGACCTCGGGAGGTCCCTTGGGGAACACCTCGAAATGGCTGTTGCCCGAGGAAATGTTTTCACTTTTTTTTTTCGTTTTCTTCCCCGAGGATAAGTGGAAGGATGATTTCCTTGGGGATTTTACGTGCCCGAGGAGTGTCGAACCAGCCCCATAATCGGGCCAATGGACGACTTCTTCAAAAGAAATGAACCCCTAGCCACATCCACGACAACCAGTACGAAGATAGCCAGAAATTTTTATAAAGATCTCTTCACCTCTCAAAATTCCTTAATCCCCAAACCTCAGAGATCAACAAAGATTGAGGAATTTTTAGCCCCCCTCAAAAGGACAATCACAGATACCCAAGGGAAGGAATTAAAAATGCAGTTAACAGAAAAAGAGATCTGAAAGGCCTTAATCATAACGGAAGAGGAAAAAACACCTGGTAGAGACAACCTCCCTTATGAATTTAGGGAAACGATGTGGGAAGGTCACAACTGATGGCTGGAAGGCAGGGAGACAGCCATGAGGCCCGGTGCCCCCCGGACCCGAGATGCCATTTTGTGTCCCTGCCCGTTGTTTTTGGTCTGTTGTCTGTGGTTTGTTGTGGTTTGTGTCTGTTGTGTTTTCGGGTTCTCTCAGGATACCGACGTCTTCTGTTCACATCAAGGTACAAACCCTGCCTGGGTCTCAGGGCAATCAATGCTGGCAGGCAAGCGAATATGAGCTTTTTCCAAACACATGTGCAGACAGTGCAGTCATAGGCAACAAATGACAGCCGGAAGGCTGAGAGACAGCCATGAGGCCCGGTGCCCCCCGGGCCGCAGATAGCATTGTGTTTTTGTCTGTTGTTTTTTGGGTTCTCTCAGGCCACCGACGTCTACTGTTCACATTAAACCAGCAGTACTGGGCCCAGCTATCAAGTCCGAGCCTCGGCCGACCGGTATGCCGAGCCATGCCGAGGCTCGAACTACCGGGCGCTAACTTGCCAAACCTACTCGGAGAAAAACACGGGAAAAAGAAGAGAAAAAACAAACAAACAGAAAATGCAAAAAGATGCGATGGAAAAACGGGATGAGATCCATTATAAAAAAAAACATGGAAAAAAGAAAAAGCACAGTCACTACCTCGACATGCACAAAAATAATCATGGCGGTGTATCTTTCCATGTTCTAGCAGAAGATTCACTTTCTTTTTGCACATTTCGAGAGTGG